ATTTATAGCCAGAAGTGATCAGAAATACAAAATATATACATTATATTTTTTTTCTTAATCTACAATAAACGATTCTGTGTGCCTACCCGCAAAGGCCTTCCCCATTGTCCTTCATTTTTTCTTATATACACTTACACTTATATACTTGGTATACACCAAAATAAATAAACATAATGAAACAAAAAAGCTCATACTGTAAAATAAAATAATAAAAACTGAAAAATTACGGGAGTGAAGCAATCAACAGCTATATTTATTTAAAAAAAATTGTGATCTTCCTAGCTAATATTTGCTGAACAAGCAAGTGATCATTCTGTGTATACATATTTGTGTCTGACACATGTTAGTTCACGATGCTTTCGTACGAAAGTATTATTTTGAAAAAAAAATAAGTTCCAAGAGTTGGTTTTTGTGGGCCTCTGTGTAACTGTAAGGTATAATAATATGTATGTTTGTATGTGTGTTTGTGTCTGTGTGAGTGCGTGTGAGTGAGTGTGTGTGTGAGTGAGTATTTGGGAGGGTGTGTGTGGGTTGGTATCAGGCACATGCTTGAGATGTGGAAATTATTTTAATACATCAATAGTAACTAAAAATTTATAGACTATTTGCTTAACACATTTTTTAGTTTTAGGATATAATATATTCAGAGTTGAACACCTATAGTTGTATGCTGATCGTCCTGTTAACCGATTATGTCGGGTTTACAATAAAATTATGAAAAATTCATCGGTGGGCATTTTCAGCAACTCCATAGAGTCGCCTTGCATTGTAAATTATTATTATTGTTTTCATTGGGTTGTTTTATTGCTACTTAATTGCTTTTTACATATTTACATTATATATTCGCGGATGCTTGCAAGACAAGGCTTCTTTGATACCAAAGGCGCCTGGTTGTTCCGGTGACCCCAGAGCAGCCCTGCGATTCTGTAACTCACTTTTCGAACTCACACAGCGGTTTTCGCATCGGCGGTCGCTCTCAAATCAGAAAAGGTGGGAGATTGTAGTTTATTGTTTATCAGAATGCCAAATCATAAAATGACTGCTTCACGACTGATTTGAGAGCGACCGCCGATGCGAAAACCGCTGTGTGAGTTCGAAAAGTGAGTTACAGAATCGCAGGGCCGTTTCACGCTCAACGAATAAGTGTCGCAAAACAGCAACAATACAAATTAAAGTTCACTGCCAAAGTGAGCAAACTTTTTAAAACTTTTTAAATCTGTTTTATTTTTCCATTTATTATTATTATTTGTAAATATTGTATATTTGTGTGTTGGAAATAAATATATACTCACATTCTATTACATTAAAGGTGTACACTACTTTGTGTACGTTACGAACGTCGCGTCGGGAAAACAGTCGTAAAAGTCAGCGACAGATCGTCTGGGATTCCATTAACCGTAGCAAATAATTCTTTATTGCTTCTTTTATAAGCCTAATAAATGTTGACCCTGCACTCTACTCTACGAATTGTGGTAATGCTGAAAAACTATTAGATAAAGATTTATTAGTACGAAATCAAAATTTTAGGCCTAAAAATAGTGTAAGATTATATTAAAAAAGTTCTCTTTTTAAAATAAGCTAATAAAAATAGGATAAAATATCTCTTCATAGATTAAAAGACTTCTTATACGATAGAACACGCGAATTTATGGCTTTTCTACTATATTCGAGTGCCTTACAGCAGATATTCTCCCCGGCTGATACTTCCTACCTCTCCTATCGGGGTACAAATTGTATTGTGTTATCCGTACCAATTCTTAAAAGGCCTGCAACACACTCGCGAGCCGTCTGTCATTGAGAGTGTCCATGGGGGAATCACATCAGGTGAGCCTCCTGCCCGTTTGCCCCTGTTCTATTAAAAAAAATTTAGTTGACTACAACTATTTGACTTGAAGATTATTACCCCGTTATTTGTAAATAATAAATCAATCTAATTGCATCGTTTTAAATAAAGCAGCGTGTCTCTTTTGGTTACAGCGAAAATATTTACACAGAGATATAGTTAAAAACGTGCTCAGGGGAGTAATCAATACTCCATATTCGTGGCGACCTCCATCGGTGCGTTAATGGAGATGTCGCACAATTAAAAAGATCTGGAGCTCACAAACAAAGGCACCACCATGTGAATGTCGAGGCTATTTAACTTAGCCTAGGGTCTAGTAGGCTGACAAGGAAAAACCGTTTGAGTTAGTATTTTGTTATGTGCTCTACTACACGTCTGACCTTATTTTGTGTAAATATAGTGCAGCTAAATTGCCTTTGAAGGTTTTAAGTTTCCTAATGAACACTTACGTATTCATATATATTCCACTTCGCATCGAAGCAATGTTTGGACTATAAATTACCGATATTACACAAACATTGAAATATATTTTATTGCGTCATAAAATTCAAATACCGCGTTTCACACCGCAGCCATTTGCTTTCGTTTAATGAAGATAAAGATATATTTGTTATTTTAAAATGTGTGTTACCGTTGTGTTGCGTAAATATAACATTTATTGGACCACATTTTGACGAGATAAAAATAATCAGTGGCGCTAAAATCTTTTTAGTTGTTGTAGATTAATTTGTAAATCTAATGGGCAATTAGGTGATCAGCCTGCTGCGCCTAACACACCGTCGACTTTTTGGGTCTAAGGTTTTCTCACGTTGTTTTCCTTCACCGTTCGAGCGAATGTTATATGCACACACAGCCGGGGAGATCTCAACTGTAATTAAGTGTCCTAAATAATAAATGGGATGGACCACATGGTTTTATATAATACTAGCTGGCCTGGCGAACATCGTACCGCCTAACAGTCGATTCTTAATTTTTTTTAAATACTTATTCTGCTATTCGGGACACCGGTCTAGCTAGTAAGATAAAAAAAAGAAAGTTGATAAGACAACAAATGCATTATGTCAAAAAATAAAAATTTACCTACCCGGAACCCCTTCACTAACACTTGAACTTTATGATATGGTATTAAAGTTCAAATTGACTTTTAAGTATTATTACGAATATTTTGTATGGGAATATAGAAAAGTGTTGTTTTTAGACTTTTTCACTCAGTTTTTTTAAATTTTTCTCTTCGTAAGAACCATCCTCGTACTTCAAGGAATATTATAAAAAAAGAATTGGCCAAATTGGTTTAGGCGTTGTTGAGTTGTGCGCTTACTTACACATTTTGCGATTCATTTTTATATTATAAACTGGAATCAAATTCTCTACTACAAAATGTAACTCTCTTCTACATCAACAATACACATATAAATATATATATATAAATTAGTATATTTATTTTATTGTACACATGATATAAGAAATAGGATGTAATTAAATAATTAAAATAACCTAACATAATTAACGAATCTACATCAAATAGTAAGATGTAGAGATTTGTAAATAATCAATTTCCGGAAATTTGTTTTTGTAGCTGTATAGGAATAATAAAATACGCTTCCATGAAATAAAAGCACTTTATATATTCGTAACGTGATTTATACTGATCTTAACTATTTTATTGTGCTGTTCTCTTAAATCTCAACCTTCAAAACACTTACCAACATAGTAACGAGTTATAAATAACTACACAAAACTGCGCCGTATTCCGATAGTGATACCGAAGCCAACAATTTACGAGTATGCAAGTTTTTTTATATAATAGGGGGGAAAACGAGCCTACGGTGCGTTGCTGGCCTTTTAGGGAGGTGTACACTCTAACTTCGAATAGTTGGAGGTCGTATCTCTCAGGGAAGACCCCCACCGGGACTCGATTCCACAGTTTGCTAGTTCGTTCTAAAGTGCCTTGTTAAACGGACTGTGGAAGACTTCCAGCCATCAAGGTGATGTTGAAGAATTTTGAATTGATACAGCTCGTTGTAGATTGGGAACAATTGTTATATAGAATTCAAGCTACAGATATATATATGTTATTTACAGTAAAATACCTACTGGCTTAGACATTGCGGTACAAAAATGACAATAATTTAGTAGGTATTTAGGAATTGTCATTTATAATTTGTCTCATGTTAGTACACACTATTGTTTTAAAATTAAAATTAATAAAAAGAAAATGAAAACAAATTTAAAATGTTTGGTTCCTGTGGCAGTGTACCTTTAACGCTGGCAGCATTTCCTCGCTGTATAGCGATAGGTACTTATTTCATTGTTACAATTTAGGTTCAGAAAATTGTAAAGACCGTATATTTCATTGTTACGTTTAGGGTTTAATAAACGATTCGGAGATTGTTTTAAAACATTTCGACATAAGTTTTACGGACCACTAACTAACAAACGCGTTAAACCAAACGAAGTTTACCTAAACTAAGATTATTTTTTTATAGAACATTTAAAAACATAAATATTTTAAGGTCCTTAACTTATCCAAAATAACTTAGAGGTATATGCAAACTCATAATAACTTTATTCATATAGATAACCAAGTACACTAATGAACGTCAACAGAAAAGATGTTAAAATGATTCAAATTTACATTTACTCGTTCGCAAGTCAAGGGCGTAGAGTGGGCAAGAAGCTTTCCGCCACTCTTTTTAATCGGCAAGTTTTGAGTCATACAAATTGAACTGCCCTGCGATTCTGTAACTCACTTTTCGAAGTCACACAGCGGTTTTCGCATCGGCGGTCGCCTCAAATCAGTCGTGAAGCAGTCATTTTATGATTTGGCATTCTGAAAAGGTGGGAGCTTGTAGTTTATTGTTTATCAGAATGCCAAAGTTTTTAATTATTCTCTAAATACGCTTGGGAGTTTGTTGTAAAAACGAATACAATTTCCATATAAGGAGTGTTTATCTTCTGGATCCTGGTTGGTCGTACGTTTAGATATGCTCTGTATAGGATAAATAAGAAACCAATTCATATCATATTTATTTATTTACAAAATATTAGCAACTTAACCTATGTGCAAATGCTTAATGGTACGCAAATTCTAAACTTTGGTTTAATAGCAAGATCTTATAGCTTAAAGAGCTTAAAGCTTCGAAACAGGAAATAAAAACTATACGGAAGACTCATATATAACTATTTGAACTATTGGCGGTTTCTGCTGTGTCGGTGATGGGCTGTTAATATTTCGTATGACAGCCTCCAGCGCAGCCTCCCATTCCAACTGTCGCTTATCCGCGAGAGAATTTCGACCCCCACCCATTCGTGGCATTGTTACCTGTTAAAGAAATATTTTATTACTACTAGCAGACCCGGCAAACGTTGTTTTGCCATGTATATTATTTATAGAAAACATTTATTTAGTTCTATAAAAATAACTATCTACTATAATAAAAAATAGGGGTTGATCGTAGAGGGGTGAAAATTAGGGGGTTGTATGCATTTTTGCATGCTGTATCACAAAAAATAAAATAAGAAATGTCTAAATAATAAAAAATTTGGGCTGGACACCCACCACTTAAGGGTTTGAAAGATTCTCAAACTTACTCAATATGCATAAAAAATTTCATAAGAATCGGTGGAGCTGTTTCGGGAGAGTATGAAAACGAACATTGTGACACGAGAATTTTATATTTTAGATGTAGGTAAGCAGTAGTGCAGTAGTGGCTTATGTGTGCCACTCATCCCTGAGGCCTTCGTTCAAGTCGTGGACCAATTTTCTACATACACAAGTAACACAGTACACATGCTCGTGTACAGGCAAACGTTGTACGGGGTCGGCATAAGACCGGTTTAGGCATAAACTCTACGGAATAAGTCAGAAGGCTAAGTAACATGCTATTTTAGTAGAAAAAAGAAAGAAAGAAAACCCTTTAGTATAAATAATAAAAAAGTTTAGTTTAGTTAAAAGGAAAGTGCACTAGCACACTCGGTTTCCCTGTGTAGTGGAAGTCTCTTCCTTTTGACATGTCAACGGTACTTGACAATAATTTCTACATTCTAGTATTGGATATTGTACACGTTCAGAATGTATTAAAAGTGTACACCAAAGGCGTGTAAAGGGATCAAGACCTGCCGTATGGATATACCAAATGAAAAACGATTAGGTTTGCCGTATTACATATGTTACTTACACGCAATTAAAAGAAACAAATTCAATAATAACACGGTATTCTTACCACGCATTTTCATATTACGCGATTTCAGTCCCTCGTTAAGGGTCCCCATATAACACGGGAATTTCACACGTTATATTTCTATACTGTGAAATTTATAATTGTGATAATATATAAATCATAACATATAATCATTTGTACATAACAGGATATATGGGGTCACATCAGCGCGTTATGTATTTTTTTTTTTAAAGACAATTCACACCAATTGACCTAGTCCCATGCTAAGCTGGTGAAGCTTGTGTTATGGGTACTAGGCAACGGATATACATACATATTATACATAGATAGACATATAAATACATATTTAAACACCCAAGACCTAAGCACAACATCAAATGCTCATCACATCGATGTTCGTCTCAGCCGGGGATCGAACCCGGGACCCATGGTTTCGCAGTCAGGGGTACTAACCACTAGACCAATGAGTCGTCAATGTATGCTTTTGTTACAAACTTGTTAAAGCAAATAATATTTCATTTGAATATAACATTGTTATCATTCGGACAAACAATGAAAACGCAATAATTGTCAGAATAAATCATCTCGGCTAGACTACGAGGTAATCAAATATATAGCGTCCAATGTTACGTGAGAGAATAAGGGTCACGTAGAGCGAATCGATATCAATAATAGTGTAGTAATCAGCTTTAGATTTTATGTATTAATGTAATTAGCTAAAATATTTTTGATTTTAAGTATATCACTTGTTTCTATAAACATAATAGCTAATAATATATTGTTAACTTTAGCAGGAAATTAAAGGCTTTATTACGAGTATTTATTTTATCTATGTTCCACCGTTACATATTTGTTTTATTTTAATTTATTTTAATTTAAAATGTTAATTATTATTTTTACATTAAATCAGTAACAAATTGTTTCATTATTCAATCTTCATTTGTTCGTGTAGTTATGTATGTCTAGTTGTGCATGTGTGGACTTTTTTACGCCACGATAAGCAAGCTGTATCTATATATATAAGGCGTGTGCGTGGGAGCCCTAACAGCATGCTGGCGGTAATAGCAAAAAGGCTGGATTGCCCTAACATGGGTCATTGCGGTGGACTGCTTGTACCTTTCTTCATTGTATGATTTTATATCTTAATATATATAAATTACTTAATTATATATAATAATATTATAAATTACAAAATATTTGTTTATTATTTGATAGTCACAATTCTAACAGATGGCGCTGTGTTGAACGTACCAACGTTTCACATAAGGTACAATTTAATGGCATAACCACCAAAAAAGCATGGTGGTCCCCATGACTGGTGTTCTCCTACCGTTTCCCTTGAATAGTTTGCTACTATGTAATATAACAAAAGCCTTATAGCCACAGCAACGCTTGGCCGGTGCTATACTAATATAATATTTAGAACGATATTGTAACTAACACAATAATAACCATATGTACTTATTATTGTCTGTATTTATTACAAATAATTATTATAAAATAACAAAGTCGGGCTTGTTCGAACTTATAACTCGAGAACGGCTAGACCGATTTTTAAAGATTTTATTTGTTGTATTTGTCTGTCATATCAAAAACATTGGATAATTTACGAAAAAAAAACTCAATAAAATGTTCAAATGCAACTGTCATGTTAGGCGGTACGATGTTCGCCGAAGCTAGCAATTATTTCGATACTCAGATATGAGCATGTAATGATGAAATAATCTTAGAAACCGGTATTTAACTTAATTTGTTATATACATACGAAAAAACAAACCTTTCCTCTTTATATTATTAGTATACCACTGCCGGATTATAGGACTCCGATGCAAAAGAGAGCATTTTGAAATTTGGGTGCCATACTTAAATGTTAGGGTTTCACCATAATTGCAAATGTTATTGAGAGTTGCAACTAGACTAACCCTTATCTGTGGATAACAAAATCAAAAAAGGGGGGCTGGGGGGCTCAACCCTATACAGTCTTTACGTAATACTTGAACGACCTGATTGGTATTAGCTTTGATTTTATCTCTAAAATGCATAGCGATTTCTTACTTACATTTCTACAGATTTACCCATAAATACTAAATCATTTATCTTTTAACAGTCCTATTTCGTCTCCTACTGTCAAATTGTTTTATGCTTTGATGAAAAGAGACAATGAGTACTTTAGATAAAATAAGGATTTATATAGGTATTTGGCGCAAAATAGAAATTTTCTTAGATGTTTACTCAACGAGTGAAAAACAAAACAATTTCGTTTTCGCAAGGACTTCCTTATTTTTAATGAAGATAACTTTGATGACAATATAGTCAAGCATTATATTTCAGAGAATTTTATGACTTAACAGATAATCCCTTGATATTAATTTTGGAGGCAAAAGAGAATTCATAATTAACCGCTGTCGCGTGAATATAAACTTTGTTTAAATTAAATTTAAAGGCATTTTTGGAGCAGTGACCACTATGTAAGAAAAATCTAATAAAGATGTTAATATGTGTTTATTATTTTTTACTTAACATACCTTTTTAATAGCTAACATAACAAACCAACATATTGAACTTTTACTATATCATACATACAGACTGTTCGATTCCGGAATAAACCTAAATACTAATTAAAACTATTAGAATACTTTTTAATTTTTCTATTTTTTCGTCCATAAAAAAATTACTTAGAGTTCGTCGAATAAACATAAAACAAGGGTGCGTGTACTTATGTACGCGCGTAAGAAGTTATACTTCTTTGGCATTATTAAAAATAGTTTTTGATTGTATGCAAATAATTAATTACAATTAAATAATCAAAGCCTGGAAATGGAGTCATTATAGTCAATAAAGTTCAGTTTACATTTGAAAAATTAAATAAATAAATAGTTATTATTATTCTCTTACATTAAGTGTAACATAAATTCTATTATTATTCGAATGTTGTTTTTTAATTATGTCCAATGCCGTAGCATCTTCCGTGGGCAACTTCATTCTGTTAATTTTGTGTCACGGTGCGCGCGCATCGTAAAATTTCACTCTCATCAATTTTTCATAACGCGCCTAAAGAAGTATAACTTTAAAAATATGATTTTGGCGCTTAGCCTAATTATGCGATTCATTTTTATTAATACATACAAAACTTTACTTCTCTAGAATCATTCTCCAAAACGTATTTTGGCCTTACTTACAACCATTTAAATTAATAAAAAAAGTCGTAGAATTTCAATTAACGTTCTTTTGTTTTTAATTCAGTTTAAAACCGATTACATGAAACAAAGATTGATGATAATGTAGTAGTGTCATTTTTTTATAGAACAGCCTCTCCTGATATTAAGTGATACTGTCCATTTTCTCAATGCCAGAAGGCTCGCGTGTGCGTTGCCGGCCTTGTAAGAATAAAACTTACAGATTATATATATATATATATATAAATCTATTATATAGCCATATTCGGAAGTCGTTGCGAATTCAATTACCCATTACGCGATGCCTATTCGTAACACAAACTCATATCAACCAATAACTTTCAAAACATATCATGTGTCGCATTGCGGCTGAATTGTGATATTTAACGATTTTATACATAACCTTTTATTTATAGTACAAGAAAACGTAAAAGATATTAGTGGAAAGGGTTTAAAGAAAAGCCACGAAAATGCTCAGAGCACTTATTATTATTATATATTAAAAAGGCGATTGAGCTATAAAATCCTTACTGGCCACTATGAAGTTCCAGGAATTGAGAAGCTCTTTATTTTGAGTGAGAACACTCATTTGAGGGGTAGTTCTTCAAAACTGAAGGCCAACAATATAATACAAATTCCTGTGTGTCTCACTTAGACCGAAAGTGTAATTAGTGCACAGAGTGCACACAATTAGTGTCTTTTAACTGTTTTAAAGGTTGGATAATTCTTCCAAATGCGCAAATTCGCGCGCATCACCTTATTAAACTGCTAGTGTGTCAGTCTACATAATAATATGAATGAAAATATATTATTATACAGTCAAAGAGAGTGAAAACAAATAATAAGAATATGAGATATTAAGCTCGCGCTGAACATATTTGTTTTTTTATAAAATAGGGGGAAAACGAGCTTACGGGACGCCCATAAAGGGCAGTCATCACAGCCCATGTACACCTATTTTTACTAGGTGCGTTGCCGGCCTTTGAGGAAGGAGTACACTCTTACTTTGAATAGTTGGAGGTCGTATCTCTCAGGGAAGACCCCACCTGGAGTCGATTCAAAAGTGCCTTATGGAACGGACTGTGGAAGACTTTTAGCCAGGTGATGTACGGTGTCAAAACTAGGCAGGTGGGATCAACCCAGATCAATTCTTCAGAGAGAGAGAATCAAGCCGATCCGTTGGAGATTAACAATTCGACAAGCCCTTCGTTGAATTTGGGCAAAAGGAAGAAGCTGGTATAGACCTGATACCACTACAATGATATGTTTTCCTGGTACATCTTCTCCGGATAGAGGGGTTACTAAGGGATTTTGAATCTTTATTGTGTTTTTTCTTTATTTATTAAAGTTCACCACAACATATAGCTATATCTGTATATAGTGTATGTAGCAATCTTTTAATACATGACAATTATACTAAACATAAATGTTACAAAATATTAAAAAATAATAAAAATATTACACTTCCAATTTTTTTGTTCATACAAATTTTTCGTTATTTTTTTAATGTTTATTTTGATTATAGTTGTATCAAGCCACGAAACTGTACTGCTGTCTTTAATAAAAAAATAATAATATTCGCTCGAACAGTGAAGGAAAGCATCGTGAGGAAACCGGCTTGCCTTAGACCCAAAAAGTCGACGGCGTGCGTCAGGCATAGAAGGTGGTTAACCTACTTTCCTATTAGATTAACAAATGATCATGAAACAGATACAGATATCTGAGGCCCAGACCTAAAAAGGATGTAGCGCCATTTATTTATTTTAATAATAGAAAAATGCATTGCATTGCAGTTCGACACACGAATTTTGATAGCGCACCTATCACTACTCGTAAAATATCTCTTTGATTTTAAATATAAAGAAAAAATATAAAATTAATTATAACGCGAAACATTTTTCTAAAAGTTCATAACAATTTGGGGTTTCCAAATGTACAGTGCGGTGCGGTTCTGCGGTACCGCGTTTTATCGCTTGCGGGAAGAAAATGACCTGATATTTTGGTTGCTAAGCAACCGTAGTTATACAAAGCATGTCACAGGCCTATTAAAATAAAGCTAATACATTAAAGCCGAGTTTAAATCTTCTAGAAGCTTAATCTAGGTTGTGTGATTTATACTAATTTCGCTTCGGTAAATTCAATTAAAACCGCTACGCCATTAATCCTTAAATTACCGTGAATTATAAGTCGTTTAAACAAACTTTGTTACGCTTCGCTGAATATTTTGTCGCGTTTACTTAAAAGTGACAAGGGTATTATGGACAAAAATATAAGTTTAATAAGTAAGTTTATTTACTACAACATACAAAAAAATCAAATTCGAACATCTATGTTTTGCTTGGTTGACTCATCGAGTTATTATGTCTACCCACATTTTTGTTGCTGTTTTGTTATTATTTTATATACGTGCATCTGTGCGGTCTAATTATTAATCTTAGTTTTACATATTGTTTCTCAGTAAGTGAATTATGTATGCAATTCTTATGAGAAATAAAGTTATTCTTAAACATAATATGACCAAATAAAAGCATGAAAACCAACCATAAATACTCAAAACACTTTAGATTTACTTAATTGATTTTTATAAGTCGGGCCTACGGGACGCCCAAAAAGTCTTCGCCCATGGACACCTATTAGTGGGTGCGTTGTCGGCTTTTGAGGGAGGAGGTCGTATTTTCGTCGACGTCATATAATTACGCACAACGGACCTAGTGAGAGTCTAAGTAAACTCAGTCCACCGATCTTTTAAAATTTAATTAGAATGGTATTTTGATAAAGGAATTATGTTTTGGACACTTATTTTAAAAGAAATATCGCAAATTAATTAGAAGTAGCCTGTCTAGCACTAGTCCCAGGCCCTTTTATCAACTAGATAATCGTTGACTTTATAGTAAGCCTTTTTACACAGCTTTTCATTAATACATTTCTTAAATTCTTAAAAATGCAGAGATAAAAGAACCTCTGGGATTTTATTAAAGAAGAGTATCCCTTTTCCCAAAAAATAATTACTTACTTTAGATAGTCTAGTACGGGGAAATTGCAACCTGTGTTTGTTCCGAGTATCAACATTGTGCGTATGTTCTATTCTAGTAAACTTATCACTATTTTTGTATACATACAAATGTATAATTTTAATAAATATATTGCGAGGAAAAGGTAAGTATATTCATTTCTTTTAATTTATCTAGGGATCTATTATTCAAACCTTTGTGTTAGACACAGTATAAAAGGATGTCGCTTGCCCACCGCATGTTAGGCCCACGGGCAGCAAAGCAAATGCAGAATAGGGTATAAATCCACCGGGAACGGTCCCCGTACTTCGCACACTCCGGTTCGACTTCTGCCCTTCATGGACCACGCCACGACGGCCGAAGCCGAGATCCGAACCTCACAGAAGACGCCCTTATTTGTCGTGGGAAAAAGCCCATTTACGGCAATATACGCTCGCCAAAACAGAACGAGCTGTTAAGACCCTTCAGGCCAACAGCAGGATTCCATTAAAAAGCCGCATGTTTTCACGGGTACGCGAATAATATTTTTAGAGGAAACATTTGAACTTTTTGTATGTTAGTAACGTAAGGTCCATGGGGCATGGGTCCAATGTACGCATGACCTCGAAAGTCGAAAGACAAGCCGTAGATGAATAACATTTGTTTGCCTATACTTATTATATTATTTACTTATAAACATGATATTACGTAAAGCACTTACTTCAAGTAAATAAATGCATGTATTTATTTAAAAACCATTGTTGCTTATTATAATTCTTTGTTTTATTTATAACGAACAAATTACGAGTGGTTTCATTTGGTTTTCTATCACCATCCATCAGGGCGCTAGTGATTAATAAACACAACAATTAGTTACTTGAATGAGTTAGTTTTTGTCCTACACTTCCTTGTAAATGTTCCTTTATTTGAGTAAACGACACTCGTAAGCGTACAATGATTTTAAACGCCGTAACTGAATGCATGTTTTATATATTTTAAAACATTTGTTCTTATCGTGTATAAATTGTAATTAAATGATAAAATATTATAATGTTAAACGAAAATCTATATTTTATATGCAGAAATAAAGACTCTATAATCATATATAAACATTACTTTCTTTTTTTAATGGCTCTGGCACGATTTGTGCATTAGCCAGCGTCAAGTATAGGATTTATAATTCGTGCTTGTCTTTAGAATATCGACCGTGTCCTCCATGTACGGTTTAGGCACTCGCCCGGTACCGCACAACCCTCCCAAAGGCCGAGAACAAATTTAAATTAAATTAAAACTTGCCCTCGAACCGGGAATCGAACCCGGTACCCCTCACCTAGCTGCCACTTAATAAGACCGCTAGGCTATGAGGCCCCCTAAATATTACTTATATAAGAATAAACCAATTAGTAAATCTTGTAAATCGTGTAAGTTATAGTGGGTAATTAATACTTTATATTTCAAGATAATTTTAAGGAAGCAAGCAATAAAGATTCCACAGTCATACATAAATATTATGTTACCAATCTATACTAATATTATAAAGAGGAAAGATTTGTATGTTCTTAACGAATTGGCTCAAAAAGTACTGGATTTTAAAAAATCATTCACCATTTGAATGCTACATTATCACTGATTAATATATTTAAATTGCAAGAAAACATAAGTATCCCTACTAATATTGCAACAATGTTACCCAAGGTGTAAAAAATGCCTATAAAACATCTTTTTCGCATGCGCTGCGCAAACGATTGATGATAGAACAATAAAATGTTCCACAATATTAAAGAACTTATCAATATCTATAAATTAAAAAATATCTACCGGTGCGAAGCCGGGACGGGCCGCTAGTATAACAATAAAACAATTATAGTTATCTTCCCAGTCATTATGGGAAATACTGTATTTTTCAAGAAGCATTGAGAATTAAATTAAACATATGTGAAACCTGATAGGTATACACTTTACGGTCTTATACTATATGTATATATAGGTAGGATACGTACGTTCAAACTGAAGGTCACAAGACTGACGCACTTTTTTACGATGCCGGATCGGAAACATATAAAAATATCCATCTGTGTACGTTGGACAAATGTTTGGGAAAATCTATCAGTGATAATTACAGTCTCAAAATAAGCCTATAAACATTCCATGTGTTGAAAGAACGAATTTATGGGATAATAAAACTAAAACGGTGTTGCGACATCCAAAAATCGATAGCTGCAACTATTTAGATTTGTTCTTAAAAATCAAGGTAATCACAGTCCAGCAGTAATATTTTATTTTAGTCCTACACTGTTTTGATACGTTTACTAAGCATTATGGAATAATAAATATTTAAAAAGCTAGTCACTAATTGGCCCCAAAAGTTTGACCCCAAACTCGACACTTTGCCAAAAGCTTATTGCACCGTAACGTTATATATAGAGCGATATTAATATAGATCATACTGTAATAACAGGAATATAATGTTCAAAGAGCTTTATATTGCACGAGATCAATCGATGATCTGTCCGCCAGACTTATCTTGATTAATCAGACGCTTCTTTGAACTCCACATTTGGTAGCTCTGATGTTGTGAATAAAACATGAGTTGCGCAGAACTTGTGATTATATCTCTTGAGTATTGCATCGATCGAAAACTAATTATATTTATCTGGAAACTTCACATTTAGTATTCAAGAGTACTGGTGTATCTAGAGGAATGGTCGAGTTACTTCAGAAAAGTGTCTAACCAAGATAATAATTAAAAATTCTAGGCTGAACATCTAAAAAATAAAACCCCGTATCTAAGAGACATTTCGCGTGTAATTTTTTTTTAATAATGTCATCGAAATTCGCAATATTTTATATTACTGAACAAGTAAAAGGAATAAGTGAAACTAAAAGGAAAATGTATTCTAAGCAATAACAAAGCGGTGAAACTTAGACAACTTCACGTATTTAATGAATTTTGGCGTCACGCTGCGAGGGTAAATTAGTTTTTGCTACTCACAACTGTTAGGACTTTCCGTAGGTCGTGTAGCGCAGACACGTCGACTCCACGACCGGCGTCGCCAAGTCTTCGCAATGTGTCTGCCAAGGGGCCTGAGAGAGCCCGCAATTGCTGCCAGGAGCGAGCGTATTGTCTACGGACCAGCTCGATAATAGTAGACGTTAGTGCCAGACCGATTAATATATACAACGTGCATAGCAACATGTATTTTGGCCTTTCTGAAAAAGAATCCCTATTTTCATATTCGTAAGAATCACGCGTTGGTGACATCTTCTTTCTTAAGGTACAAAGTAACATGTATATCTTGATCTTATAATAGGCTTTGAAGGAGGTTTATTTTAGGCGCGCGACTCGAGAACTTTTTTATAAGGGGTTAGAAATATCAGCGTGTGACAGGTACATAAGACTGATCACCCCGTTAACCGATTTCGATCAAACGAAACCTTAATTTGCGTTAGAACTTTGCGCACTTTTTGGACAAGATTCAGCGTCGAAACTTATGACTCCCATATATATACCAGCGTTCTTTGCTATTGTAAAAAAAGGGTGCGTGTACTTATGTAAGAAGTTATACTTCTTTGGCATTATTAAAAATAGTTTTTGATTGCATGCAAATAATTAATTACAATTAAATAATCAAAGACTGGAAAAGGAATCATTATAGTCAATAAAGTTCAGTTTACATTTGAAAAATTAAATAAATAAATATTTATTATTATTCTCTTAGATTAAGTGTAACATAAATTCTATTATTATTCGAATGTTATTTTTAAATTATGTCCAATGCCGAAGCATCTTCCGTGGGCAACTTTATTCTGTTAATTTTGTGTTACGGTGCGCGCGCATCGTAAAATTTCACTCTCATCAATTTTTCATAACGCACCTAAAGAAGTATAACTTCAAAAAAAATTAAATCAATATTAAATTTGTTCCCTTTGGAGTAGAGACTCTTGGGCCGTGAAGTTCAAGTGCACAGGCACTAATTAAAGATTTAAGTTGGCGCCTGGTAGATAGTACCAGTAACCTCAGAGCTGGTGCTTTCCTCCCTCAACGAATAAGCATCGCAATACAGCGACCAAATGCTGCGAGCGTTAAAGGTGCACTACCACAGGGACCAAACGTTTTAAATTAATATTTTTTATTATTATTATTACTTGTATAATGTATATATAATAAATATCACTAATATCTTACTTGGAACGAGATCGCCAAAACCAATAGTTGTCATAGTAATGAAGCAGAAATAAAATCCGTCGTAAAACGTCCAATCGTCTTCCCACATCTTGAATAAACCAGCACCAGCGGATAGATAAACAAATAGGAATCCTACAGCCCAGAAGGCGTACAGCGATTTTTGGCCTGCTGGGTTAGCTTCAGATACGCGGCTGCACCATTCTGGAATGGAAATTGGTTATTTAAATTGTTACACTTTTGGTAACAATTACTTTACATAGAGGTAAAAATTTTAGTTTTTTCGGTTAAATTTTTATAAAGATGTTTGTTTTATAATGGTAGAGATCTACATTGTTACTTGTAATTTTATTTTTGTTAATGTAGTTATGCGCTTTTTCCACTTTACCCTTAGTATTTTTTTTTTTTAATTACCAGGGTTGCCATAAAGGTATCGCTACTTGGCGATAAGGCCGCCTTAATATGCTTTCTTAATCATTTATGTTATCTGATTATATATTATGTACTATTAATGCAACAAGTGAGCAGTGTTGGCCTAGTGGCTACAGCGTGCGACTCTTATCCCTAAGGTCGTAGGTTTGATCCCCGGCTGTGCACCAATAGACTTTCTTTCTATGTGCGCATTTAAAATTTGCTCGAACGGTGAAGGAAAACATCGTGAGGAAGCTGGCTTACCTTCCCAAAAATTCGACGACGTGTGTCAGGTACTGGAGGCTGATCACCTACTTGCCTAACAAATTCAGAAATTTGAGGCCAAGACTTAAAGAGGTTGTAGTGCCACTGATTTATTTTATTAATGCAACTAAGTGTTAACAAATAAAAAAATACGGAATGCTATTTTGACGAACACAATAGTGAAAAATAATATTACACTACATTCAAAACAATTAAATATATGAAACTAAGAAATTATTTACAATTTAACATAGGAAATATAGCGCTCTAAGTAAAAAACCAATAACGTTCACCTAATTTTTGTGTTATTAATAGCTCGCACGATGGTTACAATTTTAACTATCCAAACCTTTTACATTGATTAATCAGTTAAAGCACATCCTTTTATAAATTTATAAATGTGTAAACACCAAAACCACTTCTCAGACGTAAACAGTTTTAATATTTAGTTTTTTGTACCTAAGTTTACGACATCAGCGCTACGCACTATTGCTACGCGCTTTATTGAAATTGTTTTTTTATTTGTGTTGCCATATTTATTACTAAGTCAATCATTGAAATTGGTTTTACAGATAAAAAAACCAGTGGCGCTACAACCTTTTTAGGTCTGGGCAGATCTATCTGTTTCCTGATCATCCATTGACAATGGAAGGTCAAAGAAAAGCCAGTTTCCTCACAAGGTTTTTCTTCACCTTTCGAGCGAATGACGAAAGTTACATAGAAAGTCCATTGGTGAACAGCCGGGGATCAAACCTACGACCTCAGTGATAAGAGTCGCACGCTGAAGCCAGTAGACATCTTTAAACCTATTTGCCGATGGCTGGTCATTCGTCATACTCGTAAACGGCTGCTACATGTGGTGACTGGTCGGACTTGAATTCGTGTATGCGGTGATGTTAGTTATTTTGACTATGTATTTGCGTGTTGTTCCCACGAGAATATAAGTGCGTGCTCCTATTTCACCATAGAGAACAAATCTTTGTTTCTTTATTTTTGATTATTAATTACTTAAAGATGTCATGTGCAACATGGTGTAATGGTTGCAGCTCCTTACAAACATTTTGCTAAACAAAAAACTTGGCGATTAAAAAGAGTGGCGGGAATGTAAAATTAGAAGCAGCATAAGCATAATATGTATTTCATTATTGACGAGTATACATTGAGTTCCCTAAATGAATAAATTATTTTGAATTTCGAACTTCCGGTACTTACTTGGCATCTCTGGTAAGTGTTTAGCTATAACGGACACGCATGTTGCGAAAACTCTGCCCAAATCAGCAATAACGGTGAGCGTTAAGGGAATACCAACTAGCGCATAAATGATGCAGAACAACCTCCCCCAGAATGTTTCTGGTACAATATTGCCATAACCTGAAATCATTTGCCAATTTCACCTCTAATGACGACTCATTGGTCTAGTGGTTAGTACCCCTGACAGCGAATCCATGGGTTCGATCCCCGGCTGAGACGAACATCGATGTGATAAGCATTTGGTGTTGTGCTTAGGTCTTGGGTGTTTAAATATGTATTTATATGTCTATCTATCTATAACATGTATGTATATCCGTTGCCTAGCACCCTTAACACAAGCTTCACCAGCTTAGCATGGGACTAGGTCAATTGGCCAACCATCAAGAAAAATTTATATATCTTTGAATACTTTGCATTATTGGGTTGTAAAAACTGAAATGTATGTAAAGAATATGTTATTTAGATAAGTTAAATGACGGATATTAAATTCGTCCTTTTACGTGTTAAGTCAATTACAATCTTAAAGTTTATCATTTAGACACCAACCATACTATGGCCGTATTAAAAAAAGTAATGTTCTTTCTAATTAGTATGACAACGCCTTATAATCACCAAAAAGGTTTTATCAATTCGTTTATACGGCGTTTTCATTGCGTTGGTACTCAGTAACTTCCAATACGACTGATGGTCATCTGGTTAATACAGCCTTGTTGTATGTACAAAAAAATAAAAACGATTTTTCTCCAGTATAACTCGGAACAGAACTAATCTAAGCGGCTCCAGAAGATACTCCTTATATGGAAATTGTATTCGTTTTTACAACAAACTCCCAAGCGAAATTAGAGAATTATTAAATAAAGCTATTAACCTATTTATAAATTTGACGATTATTTAAATGATTCTAATCCTTGGGATTGCTTTGCTCGAGTTCAAACAATTTGTAAGACTTGGCGATTAAAAAGAGTGGCGGAGAGTTTATTGCCAATTCTTCTTGCCCGCTCTTCGTAATTGACGTGCGAACACATATGTAAATTTACAATTAATTTAACTTCTTTTTTGACGTTCATAAGTGTACTTGGTTACCTATATGAATATAGTTATTTTGAGTTTGATGTCGAAATTTCTATACACGATGTATTTCTCTTAATAAGTAGTCCTTGTAATCGTCAACTCAACCGCGGCTGATAGGTTTATAGTTTGGTCCTTACAGCTTAAATATAGAGATTAATAACATAATTACAATATGCTTACATGTATTACACACCTATTGTGGTGAGAACAGTGGAGGCAAAGAAAACAGCTTGCAGAATACTCCATTTCTCTTCTAAGGGTGGGAAATTATTTTCAATTTCCAACGACAGGCCACTACCGGAAGCTTCCTCTAAAACCTGTTAGATTAACATTAAATGAAACTTCGTAAATGTATTTATTTGGAATTCGGGTTCTGTGATCTCGGATATATTTATGTACTGAAATTACAAACAAACAAATTACTAACAAAAATTATATATATACAAAACAATTACACAAAAAATATAGCCAGAGATGGAATATTATTATTTACCAGCAAAATGATTCAAAAATTTACAAAAGGGAACAAACAATAAAATATTCAATACTTAGTAATACACAATTTGGCTGTGTTGTGTGATGGTGTAAAAGTGAGGGTAATTATGAGAAGGTGTATGTGGGGTATGCTCACGGTGCATGTGATTTTGCGCTATGGATATGACGTTGTGGTTTATGACATTTTCCTTTGAATAATTGTAATGTAGAGGGAGGGTAAAACTTGCCGAGTTTCTTGCCCCCTCAGAACAAGGCCGCCTGTTAGTTTTGCGAACGGATGGCGTAGTCTTGCTCTTTCGCGAATTTTGTAAACGTTTTTGACATTCATAAGCATGCCTTAAGACAAGACGCATCTAAACTGATTATAGTATTTTGATTTTGATTTGATATTCTAAATACTCCTTTTAACCATATTCCGCGATAGATTACGTCAAGGCTTAAATATTAGACCAATTTTATGATTCTTTTATGTAAATAAATAGCAATATACTAACTGACGTACTCCAAGTCCTACCGAGGTATTTACCCCTAATGTCAGATATTATTTATCAGTTCTACTTAGCAACGAAACTCATTGCCAGCACCAAAGACTTGAAATATCTATAGTAATCCTAAGAATTATGTGTATCGAATTGCAAATCTCTGTTAGAAGTTACAGGGTACCGGCGATGATTAACTATACTCGTATATTGTTACGCGCAAACCAGTGAAATAAAAAAAAATTAAGAAAATTAAAAGCCGGCAACCCACTTGCAAGCCTTCTGGCAATGTGAGTTTTTATCACTTAAAATCTGTTGTGCCTGATGTCGACATATATATAAATTAAAATAAAAAAATTTTAGCCTCCGATTGCGCTGGTAAACCAATTCCTTAGTAAACGGTTTAAGTGAGTTTTATTTTAGAGGAGGCCTAAGAACGTCGGAGGTCGTGTACTAATATTAAATATCCTTGAAACCCCATCTCATAACTTATCCTTTCTTGGAAAATGCTTTAAGGTCTCTGCACTTAGGCTATGGAATTCACTTCCCGTCCCTATCCGATAAGCTCCTTCTCTATCTACCTTTAAATCTCTATTGTACAGCATTACCTTTCCACATCGTATCCCTAACTTTCGTACTAATTAATCTGAAACTGATCTGAAATTAGGTTTTCACTTTGACTTTTTAATGTGTCCTTTTTTTAATATTGTCCTGTTCACTGTTTACCTATGTTTTAATTGCTTTGTTTTGTTTCATTATTTTTGTTTAAATAACTATATGTTTTATGTAACACCTATTCTAATTTTTTTATCCCTGTTGTCCGCTCCCAGTTGCACTCCTATATATTTAACTATGTCAATTGTATTATATTTCTGTACATGCAACGAAGTGTTAATATATAAATAAATATAATAACATCAACTTATCGTAATCCTTAATTTACTTCACTCGAATAAAGGCTATTTTTATCTTATTTATTTATAAGTGATAACGATCCTGAAAGGTATACAATTTTGGAGATAAACGACAAATTTGTACGTACTTTTTCGTAGATAGATAGCTGGTCGCTGAGCAATTTCTCCATGCTCACAACTTCAGTGCCATTAAAATTGTAATCTGACACTGCTCGTATCAAATTCCACCGTTGCGTGAGCAAACGGTCTCTTAGATACTCTTGTTTCGCCATCTCAGCTGGATATTCCAACGCCCGAAATACCTAGTGAGTAAAAATATATGGAATTGCTTTATCCTTGAAGGTATACGTAAGAAGATCTGCGATATTTCAACATCAATAGTGTAGAATGTATTGGACGGAATTTATTAAAAGTAATTGATAAAAATACCTGACGATGTATATTTTAAAATAAATAAATCAGTGGCGCTACAACCTTTTTATATCTGAACGTAAGATTATATGTGTTTCATGGTCATTTTCCAATCTAAGTAGGTGATCAGCCTCCTGTGCCTGACCCACGTCGTCGACTTTTTGAGTCTTATGCAAGCCACACGTATTCGTTTACCGTTTGAGCGAATGTTCAACGAGCACATAGAAAGTCCATTGGTGCACAGACAGGGATCGAACCTACGACCTCAGGGATGAGAGTCGTACGCTGAAGCCTTAATGCCAACACTGCTCACGTATTATTTTATTATTAAGATTTACAGGAGTAATTAAAATATGTCCTAGTCACTAGCTGTGGTCTCTGTTAGAATGACCAGCGCTGTGAAACTGTCTGCTCCTCAGTATAATGCTGAGCCAGGGCCAATTACAGCCACAGCACACACACATTACACACTTGAAACGAAACGAATGGGAAAAGGGTATTTTTAATTCATTTTTTTTTCTTTCATTATTGTTATTTTGTGTGTTCATGTGTGTGTGTTTTTGTTAGTAATAAATGTCATGTCTATGTCTATATTCTATGACACACACAAATCCTTAAACCTAATAAGTAATACATAGTCAAAAATTAATGTGTATATTATACGTATAATGTAAAATACAATAATAAACTTAAAAATTTGAAAATTCTCTCGCAAATAAGCACTCAGGCGCTTTCTTAAGCTTAACGTCACTCAAGCCTGAATCACTAAAGTTTTTTTTCACCGGAATAAACGGTGGAAACATTTTCTGATGAAGCACTGTATGCCAATCGATATCTATAAACCAGGCATGCTTTTTTATATCGTATACACCAGCTTTCAAAGACCCGTAACGCTTCATTGGATCAACATCCAAAAGACTCTTCACTAATGACTTGCAAGTAGGGGTCATACATTCGGGTGACTTGAACGAACCACCCAAGATTTTCTCGTACATTTTCATCGTATCTGAGCTATAAAATGGCGGATATCCAGCGATCATTTCATATATAAGTATACCTAAAGACCACCAATCGACGGAGAATGTATATCCTTTCGATAAAATTATTTCGGGAGCAATATATTCGGGCGTACCACAAATTGTCCAAGTTCTACTACGTATTATTTTGCAGAAACCAAAATCACCTAGCGTAATATAACCCGATTCGTTTAGAAATATATTCTCAGGCTTAATATCCCTGTGTACTATACTGCAGTGATGTAAATACTCTAACGCTAGCACCATTTGTGCAGCATAAAATTGTGATAAGGGTTCCGATAAATTACCCAGCTTCTTTAATATACTGAACATCTCGCCGCCAGCTAAATGGGGCGTTATGAGAAAGACGTACACGTTGTCCTTGAAACTATTCTCTAAATTAAGAACGAACGGAAACGAGACACTTTCTAATATCTTCTTTTCCTGTAACAGCTGCTTTACGTTCTTCTTCTTAATTACGTTAGCCTTCTCTAAAGCCTTCATTGCGTAATACTCAAAAGTGGATTTATCCCGAACTAATAGAACGGTACCAAATGCACCAAAACCTAATGTTGCAACTGTATCAAAATCATCCACAGTCTTAGGCTCTCGCACTGGTGGATTTGCGTAACGTTGTAAAAAATCTTGCTTTAAAAGGTCTAAATATCTTTTATGACTATACTGATGTTCATGACTAAATGGAACGACTTTATCTTCTTGTTGGGCAAATATCATCGCTTTACGCTCATAGGATTTCTACGACGCAACATATTCATATCAATAAAATGCTGTATGTGAAGTATTGTGTTTACTCTTTCCTATAAATTACAAATATGCAAATTAACAGTGACATAAATCTTTCAGATTGCGCGTGACATATCCCGTGACAGATTTTAAATTGATGCTACCGTATTGTGTCATTATGTTCCATTGTATACAGAATATTATTTTTATATATCCATAATTTTTATTCCATTCCGTATACAAAGACAAGTAATACTACAAATAAATAGTTTTACTTAACGCAAATTTTATTAGAAGTCTTCAAACTCTTTTTCATATAAACACTTGGAGCATCTTTTTAATTTTGTGTGTTCCATTTCAGGAAAGTTGCTTGTGTCACCAGGCGAAGGACATATCGGAACGAATGGCGCCGGTAATCTTTGGTGAAGTATCGACTGCCAGCAGATATCGAAAAACCATGGATGGTTTTTAATGTCAAACACCCCATTCTTAAGGCCACCTAATCTTTTCGTGGGATCTACTTGCAATAAACCTTTTATTAAGTTTTTACAGTCTGACGCTAAACAGTCTGGACATTTAAATTGACCTTCTAATATTTTTTCATATAACTTACTTGGTTCTGAGGCAAAAAATGGTGGATGACCAGAACCCATCTCAAAAACTAATACACCGAGAGCCCACCAGTCAACACCGTATGAATATCCTTTGGACAATATGACTTCTGGAGCCAAATACTCGGGAGTGCCACATAAAGTCCAAGTTTTCTTTTTTAATACTTTGCAGAATCCGTAGTCACATAACTTAATATAACCATTAGTGTCTACTAGAATATTTTCAGGCTTAATATCCCTGTGTACAATACCACAATGATGCATATATTCCAAGGCTAGCGTCACTTGGCTGGCATAGAATTTTGCCAGAACTTCAGAAAATCCACCATATTTTTGGATATATGTAAAAAGTTCTCCTCCAGCAATATAGGGAAGTATAAAATAAAGGTAGACATTATCTTTGAATGCAGCATCCAATGATATAACGAAGGGAAAATGAACGCTATCTAATATTTTCTTTTCCAGTACTAAATGTTTCACGTGCCTCCTTTCAACGACAACTTTCTTATCTACTACTTTCATCGCATGGTATGTAAACGTTCCTTTATCTCGAACTAAGAAAACTTCACCATAAGCTCCGTTTCCAATAGCTTTAACGTTATCGAAATCATCACAGTTCTTTTCGTGAGCGGGTGGGTCTTCGTATCTCTTTATAAATTCTTCACGCAACATATCTAAGTATCTTAGGTGGTCCTTGTGGTTTTGTTCTGTATATCCGGGACAGTATGTATTGCGACCTTGCATACTCAAAATAGTTTTACTATACCTACATAATTAATAACAATATTTACGAAAAGTTAAAATCATCAAAATATAAATACATATAAATCATTGTGTCACTGTCAATAGACATTGGCAATTTATTGGTGAAGACACAGATGATACAAATTTGAACAGAGAAATGAGTAATTTATCTCTTTATAGAAACAATATTGATTTTACTTAATATATATAATAATTTAAATAAATATAAATAACTCTCGAACATATAGGTATTGAATATTCAATTCATATGTGCTAATGTCAGTTACCAATGTGAGTAGTCGCCTTTAGAATAAAAAAAATATACACAGTCGATTGAAGGTTGTTTGAAGTTGAACTATGTCCTGATTATGTCATAAATAAAAAGAAAAAGTCTATCCAAATTAATCTCACTAACTTAAAAAGAATTGTTCAAACTGATTTCAATTGAGGAAATAGAAAAAATGGCAGATGATGCCAAAAGACATATTTATTCGCCGCATCCTGAAGGATACTCGCAGGCTCGCCAAGAGCAGTACAAGCAGTATCTTCGAAAACTACAACATAATTTTATAGACTCGTGGAACGAAAAAATTGAATGCAACGCAAGTTTAGGTGATTTTGAAAAAATAAAAGTTTTAGGCACCGGGGCTTTCGGCGTGGTATATCTCTCGAAATATACCAAAACGGGTAAATATTACGCAATGAAGGTTATGGAAAAGGAAAAAATTGTCAAGATGAAACAAATTGAACACAGTTACTATGAAAAGAAGATTCTGTGCGGACTCAACTTTCCATTTGTAGTATATATGAAGTATTTCTTCAAAGACAATGTTTATCTTTACTATGTATTACCGTTCGTTGCTGGAGGCGAGATGTTCTCCCACTTACGCAAATTGGGTAAGTTTGACGAAACAACTTCCAAATTTTACGGCGCCCAGGTGGTCTTAGCTTTAGAGTATTTGCACTCTTGCGAACTAGTTTATCGTGATTTGAAACCAGAAAACATCCTCATCGAACGAACAGGGTATATTAAAATAACTGATTTCGGATTTTGCAAGCTCGTACGGGGCAGAACATGGACTCTTTGCGGAACGCCGGAGTACCTCGCACCAGAGGTAATTCTAAGTAAAGGATATGGTTTGTCAGTTGATTGGTGGTCCCTCGGAATTTTACTGTTTGAAATGAGTGCGGGATACCCGCCGTTCTACGCGTCGGATCCTATGAGGATTTATGAGAAGATTGTAGCTGGTAAATACCGGTGTCCTAGCCACTTTACGCCCGATCTAAAAGATATTCTCTCTCATATACTGCAAGTGGATATAACGAAGCGCTATGGAAACCTCAAGGACGGGGCTCTTGATTATAAGAATCATAAATGGTTTAAAGATATTGATTGGGATAGTTTGCTAAACAACCGGCTTCAAGCTCCGTTTGTGCCCAAAATAAGATCACCGGGAGACACGTCGTACTTTGAAAATTACGATGACGAGAAAGTTAAGGAAAGCCCCGTGTGCTTATACGAAGAGGAGTTTGCCGACTTTTAACGACTATCGTTTTATCGACTTTAAAGATTTTATTTACTTAAAGAAGTAGTTTAGTTTAAAAATAAGGTTACTTTAGGCTAACGTTGAAGTGCATTTAGAGCCGAGCTGTTGTCATGTTTACAATAAATAAATATTACAACAAAACATTTTTATACATTTTTATACAATATTACAATATTACAACAACTTTCGTCACAACAGAGCACTGTTTTATGAACAAAGTTATCGTTTGCTAGAAATTCATAGTTATCATCCCGTAGAATATTTTTGCGTTTTATTATTTTTATACGCGTGTGAAGAAATATCAGTAACAATCGTTTCTGTCTGGCGATCGAAATTTGCGTTTGATTTCTGTTTTCCTTTATGCAACTAGGTTTTGCATTGGTGACAATGTCTTGCTGATAGTTTTTTCTTAGACGTGTAGGTTTTCTCTGTGCATTTTGACATTATATAAACAGGATATCCGAGCTAAAGACGTCAAACTAATTAACAATACGACAATGTGAATATGAAAATTATTTCTAAGAAATTGTTTAAGCCAATTGGCAATACATCAATTATTTAAAAGACAATGACGTTATACATTAGCTGACATCATTTTGTAATATACAATTCCGATAACTCAATTTACGAGAAAAGGATATACATAAAACATGTATTACAAGCATTTACTAGAATGATGTATATAGTGTTTATATTTTTATAGTTTTATCCAATTCAGAGTCCGAAACTTCCTATCGGAATATAAGTGGACTTATACAATATCTATACTTGATCGTTTAATTAGATAACTTTTAATGAAGAACTCTGATTACGGCTGTAACGGTAATAAGAGGAAGATGAGAGTCGATAGTTACTGCTAAATTACTCTCGAATGACAAAAATGGACTGTGTCACATCCAGTTATTTTTTAATTGATAAAAGCACACTGATACATTGCTAAAAGAATCACAATATATAAATTTTAATGTTACAAGCACTTATGGGCAAACATGATATACACGAAGGGATGATAAAAATAATAAACAAAACAATTAAAAAATAAAAACTAAACGAAAATCGATTTTAAAGTGTGAGGGAAGCAACTCTGGATATCCAGACCTAGCTCGTTTATCAGAATGCTTAATCTGGACTTCGGTGAGTATTATATAAGACGCTTTTCTTGTCTTAGTCTATTTTCAAGAGGCTATTGTCTATATAAAAACGGATACAGATAATCTATGGATCTGTCCCGGAAATAAATAGCCAGCCTATGTTACTCAGAGATAAGATTTCTTGGTCTCATGTGGCCCGGAACAGTCAGCCCAGTCGGTACAGGCCCGGCAGGTCGTGATTGAGCTCTTTATGTGAGATATAAGCCCGGTAGAATACCTGGCGAATCCCGAGGGCCCATCTTAATGGCGTGCGAAGGGCCTGGGGTTTTTTTTGTGGGTGGTCGCTACCCCTCTGAATAGCAGAGGGCTTTGAGTGTCCCAGCCCCACAGACCCCGCGTCGAGGTCTACATCCATGGCGCGGGCCTGCGTAAGCGCATTTTCACCTCATTTAAAAAGTAATAATATTGAAATGGTGAAATTATTTTTTAACTTTGTCCATGAACTTAATACAAATCTTTCATCTTTATGACAATATATAGTAAAGCAGTGTTGGCTTGGAGTGCGACTCACACCCCTGGAAGGTCGTAATACCAGCTGTGCACACAGATGGACTTGTCTTAGTATGTGCATATCACACTCGCTCATAACATCGTGAAGAAACCGCCATAAACGCAAAAAGTCGACGTGTATCAGGCACAGAAGGCTGAACGTAACAGAAATCTCAGGCCTAAGGTTGTCATGCCAGTAGCTTTTTTTATATATACAGTAGAATCCGGATATTACAACATTCAAGGGACCGGCGATAATATGTCGTACTAACCGGATGACATACAAACGGCAGAATTATTTCTTAAGTACATATATACTTAACTAACGAATAAATATGTGTGTATTATAATTGCGCAAATTTGATTTTCCTATTTAGGTCAAGAAATCATTTTGTAGGATCACATATACATAGTAATAAATATAACTCACCAACCCACCACCAGCAGTATAAAGCATGAGGGCAACAAACAGACCGACGTGTGGTATAGCTGCTCGTGGTATGTATCTTTCCCATCGCGACGCAGGCGGTGCTGTCCCCATCAAAGTCTCCGTCTCCCAACTAACCTTCTTACACATTGTCAGAGTTTAAAATCCTTCATTTCCTAATGTATTAAACCCATATCTGAAACAAATTTTTGGAAATATTAATTTTATATTAGCCGCCTTCAAAATTACCAGTTTGACCTGTATGTATGTGATATTAGAATTGGGTTATAGTTCAGTATGATGATTTAAATTTCCTCGGATGAACTTCGTACACACGTTTCATTATTTCATCAAAATCGGTACAATAGTTTTAGAGATATGCGTATCTATTATATATATTTATCTTCACTGCCTTTTTCCCAGGTAGGCAGAGTCCACGGATCTCTTGCTACGGTCCTCTCTAGCTTTATCCACTTTCGGGACCATGCATGGTCGTTGGTTATGGGTTTTAGCTTGTCCCTTTTTCTAGTACGTCCTGGATTTGGTCCAGTTATGTAGAAGGGTACATTAGTAGATACCTAATGGTATGTTAAAAGGTATTTGAAGTTGGTTGAATTTTTCTAAATTATTTTTAAAATTAAACAACTTTATATACAGTAGCAGTGTTGGTTGGTTGGTTTTTTTATGATAGGGGCAATCGAACCTATGCAGCAGCCAAAAAGCCGCAAATGGACACACATGTTAGTGGTTGCGTTGCCAGTCTTTTAGAGAGGAGAAAGTTCGCGTCTCAGCAAAAATATTGCTGCCGGTAATAAAACGAGGCAACATGAATCAGCCCGAACAGAATATTATGTGTGACCTTGTAGTGGGTTCAAATCTCGGCTGTGCTCCAAATCTTTCTATTGGCGCATTTAATATCCTCGTACGATGAAGATACACGTTATGAGGATGGTCATATTAAATTATCCTTATCCTCGGGATTGATTTGCTCCAGTACAAAGAATTTGTATGACTCAAAACTTAGCGATTAAAAAGTGAGGCGGAGAGTTTCTTGCCAGTTCTTCTTGCCCGCTCTACGCCCTTGACTTGCGAACTGGTAGTAAATGTAAATTTACAATTAATTTAATTTCTTTTCTGACGTTCATAAGTGTTTATTTACCTATATGAATAAAGTTATTTTGAGTTTGACCATTCAACGGCATGTGTCAGGCATAGAAGGCTGACCATCAAAGGAACAGATATAAAGCAGGGTTGTCGCGCGCTTCTGGATTATTAACATACATCATAATTTTAGTGTAATTTTTTGCCAATTCTTAAAGGGCTCTTGCCAGCCTTCTGGCTGAGTGTCCATGGGCGGCGGTATCACTTAACATCAGATGCGCCCATTTGCCTCCTATTACATAAAAAAAATGATATCACTTTTTAGCGTACTTGCCCTCAAAAAACAAACTAAAGAAAAAGGCATAAATCTCAAATTGACTCTGATAAATGTTATCTGATTATTCAATAAGTATTTATCTTAAGTAATTAATTGTATACTTGGGGTTCAACGAATGACCTAAATTCTTCGTTTAAGCTTAGAAATACTTTGTTTTGATAATAAAAGTAGGTTATATTTTAATACAACTGCAATGCCGTAAGCATTATTAAGAAAGATGTATTATAGTTAAGAATTTTGACGTCTCTCATTCCATTTTTCCCTTCTTTCCGGAGAACGCGTTTTGGTCAAAACTCACCGATGTCCAAATTGAGCATTGTTAAACGAGCTGGGTCTGGATATCCATAGTTGACCCCTCACACTTTAAAATCGATTTTCGTTTAGATTTTATAGTTTAATTTCTTTTTATTATCTCTTCGTGTAGTTATGTTTGGTGCTTGTCACATTAAATATTGTATTTTATTGTGCTTGTATTAATGCATCAGTGTGCCGAGCATTGGCATGCTTTTATAAATAAATACATATTTATATGTCAAAGAAAACCGTGTCACACATACAATAGCTAGGTAGAAACTCTTCCATATAGATAATCTTTAATATTGCTAAAGAAAAATTCATATAAACGTTATACTTTCCATCTATATATGGATTAAACTTACAATATAAAAAACGCTACAAATTTTTAGTATGTATGTTTCGTGATTATTGTTTTGTTTCCAAAAGTGTTCAGCCTTCTATGCCTGACACTCACTCTCTACTAGGATTTTAGACATGTCGGTACCCTCACGACGTTTTTCTTCTACGAGCGACTGCTATAAACATAGAAGTCTATTGGTGCAACTCCGGGGTTTGAACCTTACGACCACAGGTATAAGAGTTCTGAAGAGAGAGCTGAAAGCACTAGGCCTACACTTTTCTTTGGGTATAACCAACACATTTATTGAAAAATTGTGCCAAAAGTATTTTACCCTATAGACATTATAATTTCAATAAATTATTATAGGTAGGTAGGTATAAAGAGTTTTATTGAAAGCCTATTTATTATAGTAAACGCCTATCCATGTACGAGTTACTACATCAATAGCCAACATCAAAAAAAAATTTAAAACCCTTTATAAAAACATATATATTTTTTTAACACTTTGATAAAACGCTATAAAATGTGTGTTACTAAATATAATTTTGGAAAGATATATGAAATACTCCAAAATAACCTATAAAAAAACATAAAGTCGAGAATTGGTAAAAAACGTATTTTGCACGTGATTTAATCTCTTACCGTAGCAGGTAAATCACTTCACTTCACTATAAACACAATTCTAAAAACCCGTATCACGAACGAACAAATTGGTTACCGAATAAATGGGAACACCCAATCGCGCCTGTGGAAAGCGCTGTACTGAAAGCGTTTCAGGCAACGAAAAGCTTTGCATAAGCCTTTTCTAATCTGAATCAAATCTAACAATATATTTCACTGGGTTAATGGGACTCACATATTAATAAAAATTGTTTCGGTAAAATTATAAAAGATGACTAACTGAATGTTAACTAAAGGTCCAACTCAGCGTTCGATTGCGTCAGCAATACTGAATTTCAGTGAGAATATTTCAGACACAACTATAAAACCATATAAAAATATTACACGTAAATAGCTATTTTTATCGACAAATGGAACATTAAAACATGTCTGTTTTGTTACATTCATGATATGCAAAGTAGCTGTCGACCCTACATATTTATTATAAAGAAATATTGATTTTTTATGTTTGAAATGAATAAACACAAAAACTACTACACTAATCTCAAATCTATGTATTGTTATTATGGTTAGTATTTCGGAAATATAAACAAAAAATCCATCTCCCGAACGGCCGGGACTGGCTCTCTCTCTCTTGGGTTATCTCTGGCTTTGACTCTCATAAATCCTTTTACGAATCAAATTTGTGAATAAGATTTAAAATAGTATTTACGGAACGCTTTTTTAAATACCTAGCAACGTTAAAACATGGGCTAAAACCAGAATTATAAATAAAAGACAGAAAAAAAAGTAGAACCATTAATCATTTGATAACACACTAGAAATAACAAAATACAAGTTATAAATTTATTTAAATATAAAACGTACAAAGTCATTATTTTTCCTTAAAGATATCACAAATATTTTTAAGACATAAATCTTCCAGGTACTTAAATTATTATTTCCATACTATCTGCGTCTTTGTGCAATGATGCGTTTTTCGTGTCTTTATTAAATTATTTGATTTACTAAGCATTTATAATATTGCCTAATTTAAATTATATTACAAGCCACAAAATGTATGGGACTGAGTAAATAGCTTTTTGGATCTGTCATTAAAGCATTTTCTTCTGTTCTGTGCCTGACAGTTGTTGTCGAAGTTTGGGTTAGTTTCGTCGGTTTCTTCATGATTTTGTTTCAACGTCCGAGTATTGATTGCGCATACAACAAAACTTTTGGTGCATAACTGGAGTTCAAAGGCAAATAAAATACTCGCACGCTAAAGAGAATATTCTTAAAATTATGGCATTATTTTGCCTTACTCAATTAAGGCATTAAATTTTTGTTTGTCTGTTCCAAATATAGAAATTGATCATTAAGGCCGATTTACATTATCTTAGTGTTTAGGAGAGTGCTTTAGGATAGTACTTTAGTTGAAACATGTAAACGCTACTTGCTTTAGTACGGTTCTACTTGACTTTCAAGTTGAATCAAAATAGAATCGCTTTTTATTTTTGTTTCAAGTGATACCCCTCCCGCGCCCGCGCAACCCCCGAGATCTTCCCTCGTTGTGTGTAAACACGTAATTTATTAAAATCTTTAGGAGAGTGCACAAGTGCCGTGAAACGCGTGCGTGTTTTTTGATTTTTAAAGATGGCTAAATGGTCGGAAGATACAACTATCAAATTTGTGTCTGAATATGTTGTTCACGAATGTTTGTGGAACGTTAAAAACAATTTATACAAAAGCAAACAGGCTAGGCATTCGGCATACACTGCCTTAAAAGAAGCTATTTTATTTATTATTCATATTTAGTTTATTTATTTCGAATAAAATCTCGTCTTCTATTTGTTCCATAACTTAGTATTTTGCGTAGAATAGAGCGTATTTGCGCTGTAATGATAATCTACTGGAAGAAATGTAAACGTTCACTCGCAACGCACTAAACCACTAAAGAACTTGCCTTTCAACTTGTACTAAAATACTCTCCTAAACACTAAGATAATGTAAATCGGCCCTTAAATATAAGGAATTTTGTTTTAGCTTACCCTGATTTCAATTAAGAATTATTAATGTCTAAACGTAAAATATTTGTCTTAATAAACTCGATTATTCATAAAATGTTATATAATCAGTATGACAACGAACTTTCCAGGTCATAATATGGAGCAAGGAGTAATGATTGCAGTATTGTTAGAGTAATTGACAGCAGTATGCAGATTCTTGTAAAAGAAAGTACATGGCAATTAAAAGGAGTGACGAAGAGTGGCTCACCAGCAAGAACTCTTTTTGTCCATTTTTCCTTTGATTTGAACTGGCAGTAGATAAATATGAATTTAGATGTTTTGTTTGATACTCAAAAGAGTTAGAAGTTAGCTACATGTATGTTGGTATATGTGTTGAGTTGAATAGTAATATATAGATTTTTGTACGAAAAACTTGAGAAGCGCTCCGTAGGGTGTATTTAAAACATTT